AAAAATTGTGCTGAACACTGGAATTTGACACAACATTGTAAAATGATTATAAATCAATAAAAAATGTTAAAAAAAAAAAAAAGGATACTTATATAGAGTTTATTACTCAGCTGGTTTCCACAAAGATGACGGGTCTTTCTTGACTCTATTATTGAGAAATAGGTGTCCAAACAATGATGAAATAATAATATGTTTTTGTTATTATTGTTGTTTTACAAAGCCTCACTTTCTCCTAAAAGCAACAGGATAAAATTGATTTTTTTGCTTAAACATAAAAATAAATAAATAAATAATATATATATGTTCTCTCAATAGATGGGTGATTTTAAGATTTTAACATCTGAAAACTGACTCATATCATGGATTTAAGTTTTTGCATACTTAACACAATAGACTTCTTTCATTATTCTAAAGATTTTGTATCCAACTTTATTGAAGTAAAATTGAAATACAGGCTTACCTCAGAGATATTGCGAGTTCAGTTCCAGACCACCTTAATAAATCTTAATAAATAAATATTGTAACATATTCCCCATTGCATATAAAAGTTATGTTTACATTATATACTGTAATCTGTTAAGTGTGCAATAACATTATGTCTTAAAAAAAGTACAGACCTTAATTTTAAAATATTTTATTGCTAAAGAACGCCAAAACATTTATACTAGTAACAACACAGATCACAGATCACTATAACATATATAATAATAATGAAACCATTTAAAATACTGTGAGAATTACCAAAATGTGACACAGAGGCACAAAGTGAACACATGCTGTTAGAAAAATAGCATCCACAGACTTGCTCATCACAGGGTTGCCACAAACCTTCACTTTGTAAAAAACTGCAATATCTATTAAGAGTTGATAAAGTTAAGCACAATAAAATGAGGTATGCCTGTAAAATAAACTACATATTTAAAGTAGACAATCTGATCAATTTTGACATATGTACACACATGTGAAACCATCATCACAATTAAAATAACCAATATGTTCATCATCCCTAGAACTTCCCTCACATTTTTTTTGCAGTCCAGTCTTCCTTCTATCCCTGTTCCCAAGTAACCAATGATCTGCTTTTTGTCATCATAGGTTACTTTCCTATAACTGTATTTCATTGGAATCATAGAGTATACACTCTCTTTTGTCTGGTTTCTTTTATTTATCATAATGTATTCGAGATTCATCCACACTGCATGGATTTTATTGCTAAGCAGTATTCCATTGTATGGATAGACCACAGAATTTGTTTTTCTGTTCACCTGTTGATGGACATTTGGGTTGTTTTCAGTTTTTGGCTTCTCATTATCCTAAAGTTTCTAAGGTTCAAGGGCAGAATGACTTCAAGGCTCTATATTGAACATCCCAGTATACCAATTGGTTCCAAAAATCAATTGCTAAGATGTATGTGCTATAGATGTAAGCAAACACATATATAAAGGATAAATTAGAATGATACCTTCTATACAATTTTTTCTTACCTTTTCATACACTGTACTATTAAGGTAAGGGTAAACATGAAAAGCTCCCCGAATTCTCTTCACACCTGGATACAGCAATGGCACCATATTAACATAAGCCACACCATGAAATGAAAGCTGACCTTCATCATCAGTCTAAAGAAACAGAAACAGAGAGCTGTGAACGTTACAGAGTAATGCAGCATAAGGTATGGTGTTGACTGAGCAATTCAACCTCAATTTAGGAACTAGCTATGCTCCTTAACTAGTTGATTTGGGCCAATTATATAGACATTTTGGGTCTCCACTTACTTAACTTCAAAGCGGATTTAATAATAACATGATCACTGAGATAATACATATTAATAGAGTTAATAAATAGTAAATATAGTAGTTGGGTCAACATACTCAAATTATTTGATAATACATATATTCAACCAAAAAATCAATTTCACCATGTTGCTTCTTAGGAAAAGTGAAGTTTGCAAAAAACAGTAATAATAACAAGAAAAGCTTAAAAGAAATAAGAATCTGTGGCCTTTAGCTTTAGTTCACAGATTCATATGAATGGAAGGGGCCTGTGATGACAAATAGGATCTAACTTATGCTTAAATTCTACTCAATTGCTGGAGGTGTTTTAGAATACTGTGTTAAGAAAGATTCTGTGTCCTTATCTGGATTCAAAAGGAAAGAATGCTTTGATTGATCAGTACCATCTGCCATGGATGAAGGAGGAAAAATGACAGTCTGCTATCATGTATTTGCCATCCCTAATCTCATCTAAATTCTCATTACAAACATGAAGGACATGTCCGTAGATATATTTTAATATAATTTTTAGTGGTTGTATGGTTTGCCACGGAAAACTCTTATAAGGAAAAATCAAATTAGTGAAATAAAACACATTTAATTTCCATAAATTAAAAGTAACCTCTTTGATTCTGCTGATTTAACAATAATTAGAAATTAGATTAAAAGTCCTGTCTTCATGTGATAATATTCTGTTGTTTTAGAAACCTAAGGAATGTTAGCCAATGCATACTATATACTACAAAGTGAAGTGCTCACATGGTAGTAGTATTTTTATTATGTAAAAAAGCCTATTTTAAAAATCTGCAAAATAATTTAAGCACTTACTAAGTCTCTACTATATGCCATGAATCATGCTAGGTACTGTGGATGATACACAGCAGTCTATGACAGGATCACTACCCTTAGAGAGTTTATAAACAAGCAGCAAGGACCAGACATGTATAAGTAAAACTATAGCAAGGATAACTTGAAAAAGTATACACTAATAAAATGGACAACCTAGAAGAAATTGATAAGTACCTAAAAATGTACAAACTCCCAAGACTGACAGGACAAAATAGAAAATAAGAATAGACCAATAACCAGTAATGAAATTAAATCAGTAATTTAAAAAACTCCCAACCAATAAAAGTCCAGGATCAGATGGCTTCATATGTAAATTCCACAATACAGCTAAAGAAGAGTTAACACCTAACATTCTTAAACTATTCCAAAAAAACTGAAACTAAATGAAAGCTTCCAAACTCATTCTACAAGGCCGGCATCACCCTGAAACCAAAACCAGACAAAGATATCAAAAGAAAAGAAAATTACAGGTCAATATCCTTGATGAACATAGATGCAAAACTCCTCAACAAAATATTATCAAACCTAATTCAACAATACACTGAAAGAATCATACCATAATCAAGTGGGATTGATCCCAGGGATGCAAAGATGGGTTAATATCTGCAAATCAATCAATATGAGAAACCACATTAACAAACTGAAGAATAAAAATCATATGATCATCTCAACAGATGTAGAAAAAGCATCTGACAAAATTCAACGTTCATGATAAAAACTCTCAACAAAGTGGATAGAGAATGTACCTCAACACAATACAGGCCATAAATGACAAATCTAAAGCCAACATCATACTCGACAGTAAAAAGCTAAGATCAGGAACAAGACAAGGATACCCACTCTTACCACTTTTACTCAACACAAGATTAGAAGTTGCAGCCACAGCAGACAACCAGACATCAAAAAGAAACAAAAAGAATCCAAATTGCAAAAAAGAAGTAAAACTGTCACCGTTTGCAAGTGATGTGATATTATATGTGGAAAATCCTAAAGACACCTCCCAAAACTACTGGAACTAATAAATGAATTCAGTAAACCAGCAGGATACAAAATTAATATACAGAAATCTGTTGCACTAACAATGAATTATCAGAAAGAGAAATTAAGAAAACAATCCCATTTACAAATGCATCCAAAACAATAAAATACCTAGGAATAAATGTAACCAATGTGGTTAAAAAAAAAACACATGTACTCTGAAAACTATAAGACACTAAGGAAAAGAAACTGGAGATGACAGAAACAAATGGAAAGATATACCATGCTCATGGATTGAAAGAAAAATATTTTTAAAATAACTATACTACGTAAGGCAATGTAAAGAGTCAGTGCAATCCCTATCAAAATACCAATGGTATTTTTTCACAAAACTAAAAGAAATAATTCCTAAAATTTATATGGAACTACAAAAGACCCCAAATAGCCAAAACAACCTTGAGAAAGAAGAATAAAGCTGGAGATATCATGCCCTCTGATTTCAACTATACTACAAAGCTAGAGTAATTAAAAAGTATGGTATTGGCACAAAAACAGATATATAGATCAATGGAACAGAATAGACAGCAAAGAAATAAACCCATATTTACATGGTCAATTAATCTATGATGAAAGAGGCAAGAACAACGTGGTGTATCACATTGATTGATTTGCAGATATTAACCCAATAGGAAAATACATCCTCTTCAATAAATGGTGTTGGGAAAACTGGACAATTACATGCAAAAGAATCAAACTGGACTACTTTCTCCTACCATATATAAAAAGAAACTGAAAATGGGTTAAAGACTTAAATGCAAGACCTGAAACCATAAAACTCCTAGAAGAAAACAAGCAGTACACTCTTTGACATCAGCCTTAGCAATATTTTTTGGATGTCTCCTCAGGCAAGGGAAACAAAAGCAAAAACAAACAAATGGGACTACATCAATCTAAAAAGTTCTTGCACAATGAAAGAAACAATCAACAAAATGAAAAGGGCACTTACTGAATGGAAGAAGATTTTTGCAAACAACATATCCAGTAAAGGGTTAACATTCAAAATATACAAAGAACCCATACAACACAACATAAAAAAAAAAGTCTGATTTAAAAATGGGCAAAAGACCTGAAGAGACATTTTTCTAAAGAAGACAAACAGATGACCAACAGACACACGAAAAGATGCTCAACATCACTAATCATCAGGGAAATGCAAGTCAAAACCACAGTGAAGTATCACCTCACACCTGTAAGAATGGCTATCATCAAAAAGACAATAGATAACAAGCATTGGTCAGGATGTGGAGAAAAGAGAACCTTCAGGTACTGTTGGTGGGATTATAAATTGGTGAGTCATTATAGAAAACACTATGAAAGGTCCACAAAAAATTAAAAATAGAACTGCTATATGATCTAGCAATTTCACTTCAGGGCATTTACCCAAAGAAAACAAAAACATGAATTTGAAAGGATGTATTAACTCCAATGTTCACTGCAGCACTATTTAAAATAGATATGGAAGCAAACATAAGTGTCCATCTAAAGATGAATAGATAAAGAAGATGTGAGATACATATACATATGTATACACACACACACATAAGTACAATGGAATATTGCTCAGCTACTAAAAAATGAAATTTTGCCATTTGTGACAACATGGATAGATCTAGGGGGTATTACGCTAAGTGAAATAAGTCAGACAGAAAGAAATATATCACATTATCCCACTTATATGTGGAACTGAAAAAACAAAACAAAGCAAATAAAATAGAACAAAAACAGATTCATAAATACAAACAACAAACGAGTGGTTGCCAGAAGGGAGTGGGGATTGAAGGGGTGAGAGAAATAGGTGAAGGGGATTAAGAGGTGCAAATCACTAGTTATATAATAAATAAGTCATAGAGATACAATATATAGCACAAAAAATGTGGTCAATAATATTATAATAACTTTGTATGGGGACAGATGATTACTAGACTTATCATGGTGAACACCATAATATATGCAAGTATCAAACCATTATGTAGTACACCTGAAACTAATAATATTGTGCATCAACTATATTTCAATAAAAAAGACCTCTTGCAGTGGACATTTCTTGGCCTATTTCCTGTGGTTTTCTTCTTCAGCATGACAGGAAGCAACTGTCACAGTCAGTGGGATGAATTGGAAACAGAGTAATTTGGACAAATACATTTATTTTTATCATAAACGAACAAAAAACAATGGAGAACTTATTCTAGGATCACCAAAGTTATATTTTTTCAGACTAGTAGTATATGTATGAATCCTTACTCTAATTAACAGGCCAAAATATTTTAAGTAGGTAAATCTAAAAGAAGTTCAGAAAATAAACAAGCTTATACTATATAGCACAGGGAACTATATTCAATATCTTGTAGTAACTTATAGCGAAAAAGAATAGAAAATGAATATGTATGTTCATATATGACTGAAGCATTATGCTATACACCAGAAATTGACATAACATTGTAAACTGACTATACTTTAATAAAATAATTAATTAATTAATTAATTAATTAAGATGTATTATGTGGAACCATATAGCCAATATTTAACTACTTTTGACCTATTAAAAGGCTATTTTGTATGTAAAACTGTAATAAAGGGCTAAAGGGAAATAGGATATCTGGGAATAAAGCCTAAATAACTTTTAGTGGACAACAGGGAACTAGGTGAGTAGTCATCTCAATTTGCCAGGGAGAAGGGAATTTCCTGGGACATGAGTCTTTCAGCATTAAAACCAGGAAACTTGAGCAAATCAGGACAAGTTGGTCACCCTAGGAAGCAGCCACATCAGTTTACATTTTCCTTTGGTATCAGAATTAGAAGCAGAATAATAGGTTGGATCTCACCTAGCATTTCTTATAAAAATATTTTTAAGTAAACAAATTTACCTTTTCAAATTTAGCAGCTTTCCCTTTGGGTACACTAACCAGAGGAATTCTTGTGATCTCTACAGGCCAAAATCGGCAGTCAGCAATTCGCTTCTGAAAACTGCAAATCAAGAAACAAACAGCCCACTAGTATTATATGCAAAAATGAGGTTAGTATAATTTAGGTTAAAGAGAACTAGTTCTCTCTTTAAAAGTAATGGAATACACATATATAAAAATTCTTATTAGGTATGTGGGTTTTAAAAAATCTTCTCATATCTAGTAAGATTCCAGGAGGAATTATAAAAATAATTATACAATGCTGCTATCAGAAGCAAACTGTACATTTTTTAGAGCAATTTGACAATATGAATCTGAAGTCTTAAAATGTTCAGTCTTTGATCCAGAAATTTCACTTCTAGTGATTTACTCTAAAGAAACAATCAGACAAGTATGCAAATGGTATTAAATAAGTTTATTTCTACTGTGAAAATAATCATAGTAGGACTTCCAGGGTCAGTTCTGATACATAAAGAGCATGGAAGTTGTCACTTCTGTCCTCACAACAAGAAAAAAGGTGGTCAAATTGAAAATCAATGGCCTTTCTTAGATCCATCCAAGAAGTAAGTTCAGTGGCAAATGCCACCTGGCAATTTGGAGAAACAGGCAAGTACAGAGAATTGCAGCTGAGGTCAGCTTACAGGCATCAGAAGCCACTAGAGCCAGTAACTGGTAGAAACACTTTGATGATAATTTTGACAAGTTGCTGGAGGCTAAGCGTGAACTAGCCAGAGAGTTAAAAAACTCTAGGGTGCTCAGTCTTAGGGGAGTTCCCCCACACTGTGCTGGGTTTTAAATCAAGGAGCCCCATCAGATTCTCACAGTGAAAACAGGAGAAAAATACCCTAAGGCAGGGAGAAGGGAAAGATAACCATTTTAAAATATATCCAGAGTGTTCTTAACAAAGGCCTGCTCTTTAAGGGAAACTAGTTCACCAGAGTTTTATCTGACCAAGGTGGAGGGCAATTAGACAACTCCAACCCTGTGTAGCCTTCCTGTCTCACATGAGGAGAGGAAGAAAAAAAGACTTATACACTCAAGAAGTCAAAACCTGGGGACTCAAACTATTAAAATACTGAGATTAATTCACAGGATTATAGAACATTTCCCTTTCCAACACATTCCATAACATCAACAGAATTCCATTATAATGACAGTGGATTGTAAGTAAGAGACTGGAATACACAAACCCTATTTAGGAAAGAGTTCTTAGCAAACCCAAAGACAACAGGGGAGGAGCAAAGGAAGGACATTGAAGACTCCAGCACCTGCAGCTACAGCAAGTATTAAACATAGCCTATCCCGTAGCCAGATTAACATAAAATCTCACCTAAAAAACTTAATTATCACATTCCTTATTACCCAAAATATAATGTCCAGCTTTCAATAAAAAACTACAAGAAAAAAAAATTCAAGGAATGCTAAAAGGCAAGAAAAATACAGTCTGAAGAGACAAAGCTAGCATATGAACTAGACTCAGATATGACACAGATTTTGAAACTATCAGATAGTAAATTTAAAATAACTGTGATTAATATGTTAAGGACTCTCATGAAAAAGCATAACATGCAAGAACAGATGGGTAATGTAAGCAAAGAGATAGAAATTCTAAGAAAGAATCAAAAAGAAATGTTACAAATCAAAAACACTGTAACAAAAATATACAGTTCATCTGATAGGCTTATCAATAGACTGGACATAGTTGAGGAAAGAAACAGTGAGCTTGAAGATACACCAATAAAAACTTCCTAAACTGAAATGGAAAGGAGAAAAATGAAAAAATCGCAAGAGAATATCCAATTGTGGGACAATTACAAAAGGTATAACAGGAATATCAGAAGGAAAAGAGAGAAAAGAGCAAAAGAAATATTTGAAGTCATAATGGCTGCACATTTTACTAAATTAATGACAGACACCAGAGATCTAGGAAGCTCAGAGAACAGCAAGCATAAGGAATACAAAAAAAAAAATTTACACATAGGTATATCATATTCAAATTGCAGAAAACCAAATAGAAAGAGAAAATCTTTAAAGAAGTCAGAGGGAAAAAAAACACCTTACCTATAGACGAACAAGAATGAGAATACACCGGACTTCCCTTCAGGAACCATGCAAGCAAGAAGAGAGTGGTATGAAATAATCAAAGTTTTGAAAGAAAACAAACCACCAACCTAGAATTCTGTATCCAGTAAAATTATCCTTCAAAAATGAAGGAAAAGTAAAGACTCTCTTAGTCAAACAAAAATAGAAGGACTTTGTGGCTAGTAGACCTGCCATGCAAAAAATGCTAAAATTCTTCAGAGAAAAGGAAATGCTATAGGTCAGAAACTTGGATCTACATAAAGAAAGGAAGTCAATTAGAGAATGAAATAGATTAAGGTAAAACAAATTTTAATTTTTTTCTTATTTTTAATTAGTCAAATAGATAATTGTTCAAAGTAATAATAGCAACAATGTATCCTTAACAAGATATCAGCAAATCAAATCCAACAATGTACCTTTATATTATACACCACTAACAAGTTGGGAACTAGAAGTATATAGGACTTCTGAAATATCTGATCAGTTTTTCCGTAATTTTAAAACTGTTCTAAAAAATAGTCTATTAGTTGAGAAAAACAAAACAAAACAGAGTTTTTCATTCAGATTACACATACACTGATAATCCTCTATTTCTTACCTGTCCCTAAACACCAGGTCACTGTGACAGAGGATGATAGTTACCCACACAAAATTAAATATCTTAATCTTATTTAGCATCTAAATCCTGATTTAATCTTGGTAACAACAAAAACACTATTTTCTAGCCTCTTCTACATCAACAGAAAGACCAATAAGATGTAGACAGAGGTTGTCAGGTTCCAGGAAGGTTCTATAAGAGGGGCTAACACAGCTAGCGTATGACCTTCCTTATTCATAAACATAAGAAGTCCCCTCTTCCAACTTTCTCCCAGGAATATGAATGTGCAGGCTGGAGCTCCAATAGCCATCTTGAAACATGAGACAACTTTGTGGATGGAAGGCACATGTTAAAGAAGGTAGAGCAAAAGGAAAGATTGAGCCTGGATATCTGATAACACTGTAGGGCCACCATACATACTAGCTCTGGAGTTCTTTTATACGAAAGAGAAATAAGAATCCACCATGGTTAAGCCACCATCACTAGAAGCCTCTGTTATCAGCCGATGTGGAGGAAGACAATCTCAGATCACCTTAATTCAAATGTAGATAAATAATTAGGGGGGAGGGTATAGCTCAAGTGGTAGAGCACATGCTTAGCATGTTCAATCCCCAGTAACTCCATTAAAAAAAAAACAATAATAAACAGACCTAATGACCTCCCCTCCAAAAAAAATAGTAACTTTCTTCCCACCTACAGTCTTTGTGGGTTAGACATATTCCCTCCGTATTCCTACCTGACCACTGTAGGAGGATCAAGGTAGCAGCGACTTTCCAAGTCCCAAGTAATCCTTTTCTTCATGCACTCTGCTTGGTTCCTAAATTCCCTGTCCTGTAAAATAATAAGCCAGAGACTTTTATCTTTCAGTATGCCATGGCTGCATCCTGCTTAATCTGTGGACATTCTTTTAATAGATTTGATCACAACACTTTTATGACTACTACTATTAGAACTATAAGTATGATTACTACTGAAAATACTATCACCATCTTAAATTTTAGGGTACTTTTCTTTCTTTTTTTTAACA